TTTGAGATTGCTGAGCGGACTGTAGTCGTCTATGGAGAGGGCATGGAGTTCAGCTTTCTCAGGGCTTGGTAGGCAAGACGGAGATCATTTACTAGGAAATGGTTTTCGACCTCTGCAAAATTCCTGATAAACTGTTTCTTATCCCTTCTCAGCAGTGCCCATGGAACGGTGCAAGTTGCGATCCCCTGATAATCGAGCCACAAGACAAGCATTTGTGGCTTCCAGTGTCTCCTGCGAGATGAAATTCTGACTTGCTCATGGGCATTCACCAATCAATTCTTGGGCTGCATCGGGCATTTCACGCTTGAAGGTGTCCCACAGAAGAACAGGGTCCGTCAGGCCACCGAGTGCTGCGAAACGACCAGAGATAGCCTCGGCAAACCATCGGGTATACTTCCCCTCCTTCAATCTGTCCACATGAAAGACCCTAAGGTGTTCATTGGAGCGACGGGGGATTCTGAAGTGAACCAGGAGAGTAGCCACAACTAATCTATGATCAGTTCCACAGAACACAGCGCTCCGCCACACCCTGCAGTTCTGGAGGATCTTCTATTGAGTGCCAACGAGGATGTGGTCGATCTCCTTGGCCACATTACTCGTATCGCTGTACCAAGTCCAACGATGCGGGTCAGAATGTTGATACCACCCAGAGCAATACAAATATTTCGTCGAGGACAGCCATCTGTCACAGATACAAGTTTGGCGAAAAACATCTGTTTCACATCAAGTTTATACACATCCGTAGGAGTGTACACAGCAATAAGAGACATGAAGTCAAATGTAAGCTTCAGTCTCAATACCATTATATGTTCATCGACTGGAGTGATCTTTACTACCGTGGGTTGAAGTCTGCTGGAGATGGCTATGGCTACTCCCTGGAGATGGTGGTCATCGCTGCGGCCCGACCAGTAATAAGTGTAGCCACCCACACTAATCGTGCCGCTGCCAGATCCTCTCACCTCTGAGAGAGCAACCACCTCAACTCTCAGCTGCTTCAGCTCCCTCGACAGTAGTAGTAACCGATCGTCCTGTCGCAAGGAACGGACGTTCCAAGCTCCCACCCTAACAGCTCGGGCAATCACTATGGGTGGATGGCCACTTCTGCCCCCCCCCCCCCAACCGACGCCGCCCCATATAGAGAAGGTTGGCTGGCTGCAGGCCCCATAATTCACCTGCGGGACGGGGGCAGGGCGTGTCCACATGCCAGTCTCCATGACTCTGTACCTCCTCCTGCTGTTCCAAGAGCCTCCACAGTTCAGCTTAGGACCGCAATGAACCTAGTTTCCATGGTTGGCCACGAGGAGGCACTGCAGAAGTCTTGATGATGGAGAGGCTATGAGCTGGCAGGGGAGTATGATGCATAGTTGCTCCCTGTGAATGTATACCAAATAAAGGGATTTGTGTGTGGATGAGAGAGTGGATCATTCTCGAGTCATTTTTATAAACTTTTGGATGTCTTCAGGAGTTTCCGAATGGGAGTTGGGTGGGGAGGTCTGAGAAACAAAGATTTTCTTATGTGGGGAAGAGGGAATAGATGTCTGAGGAGTAGAGGGACAGGAGGGTGTAGGAGAAGGTGGGATAGGAGAAGATGGAGTGGAACGTTTAGGTTGTCTGGTAATACAGGTAGAGTGAGAAGGAGGGGAGGGGTATGTGGGGTCGGGTGGAGGGACGAGATACTGGGGGAGATGCTGAGACTTCTTGAGAAGATGGAACGGGAACGGAGCGAAGTACAGTTTTGGAATAGGTAGAAAGAGAAAAACCTACTTCTTGTCTGGCCTCACGTAGAGAGAGGCCTAGTTTGAATCTGAGAACTGCTACCTTAGATTCGAGCTTGTAGGCAGGGCAGCTCCTATAAAACACAAATACAATATTTGCGTGACTGAACAGAGCAGTTTGAACGATCATGACCAGGTTGGGCACATGACAATATTGGTGAAGTACTTATGTTGGCCTCTGGGAAGAATTGTGTAGCACTGGACTGCTACTGCATCATAGTCAATAAGGCATGCAAGCAAGTAATTTTCACAGTCTGACCACCCCTTGCCGTAGACAGGACAATCAGTCGGAGAGACGGAAAAAGTTCCGGTACAAGTACTAAGGGAGGAGTGAGGTTGGGCAGGAATAGGTTTGCCAGTGAGTTCAGTCAGCTAGATAGTGCATGAGCTTGGGACTCGGATGTTACTGTGACAAGGCATGAGCGACCAGGAAACTTTGCCTACCTGTTTTTGGAGACATTGTTGGAAGAGAAGGGTATTCTCAGAGTACGGGGCTATAAGGGGAACCACAAAGAATTGATGCCACTTGGCTGGGCAAAAAAGGGTACTCAAAAGGTTTGTAGATGTGTAAGCAGTAGAAGGACGAGGTTGGGAGGAAGATGGGGAGGTATGGAGTGAGGTAGTACTGTTGGGAGGACAATAAGGATGAAGAGGAGTAATAAGGGGGGTAGAGGTAGACAATGACGAAGACTGCAGTTGAAGATAGAGTGGAGGATGTTGGGAGGGTGTATTCTGAAGGGTGTGTAATGACCGGGATAATTCGGAAAGGATAGGGTTAATCGCAAACATTGAGGGGGGTACGAGTATCAGTTGGAGCCGTGGTCAAAGGAGAGGCAAGGGTTGGAAAACCAAATGAAATCAAATTTAGGCTGGTTGATGAAGGATCAAGCCTTAATGCTCCGAAAAAGGGTAAAACATTTTCATTATTGGCCATGGTGAGCCTGATATAAATGGGGAGAGGAAATGGTAAGGGGGTAAGGGCTAGGCAATTAACCAAGGGAATGCCGTGCCCACGGCTCCTGGGGGCCATTCATGACTGACGTAAAGCCAGCCTTTCATCCTTTCAGCATGGTTCTCACACCTTAGGAAGTGAACAGAAGTAGGGGATGATGAAGAAAAAAAAGGAAAGGAAAAGGGGAGAAGAAAAGACCATGCAAAATTAGTTGAGGTGAGGGCTGACGTCCAAGGTAAGAGTGATCCCCCACCCAGTCTCCGTCTCCTAAGCCTCCTTAGACAACATCGAGCAAGGAATTAGGGGGGCGAGGTGCAAAGCAAAGGGCAGTATTGGAGTAGGGACTAAGAGGAAAACCTTGTCTGTGTACTTCATGTCTGGCCTCACATAAAATGAACCCAAATTGGAATTTGAGAATTGCTACCTCAGACTCAAACGTGTAGGTAAAGCAACCCCTATAAAATTCAATGTGGGATCCACCACAATTGGCACATGTGCATTATTGTGTAGAGAAGTTTGATCGATCATGACCAGGTTGGGCATACAGAGGGCATTGGGCTGTGAATTGGCAATGTTTGGAAGGGTGGCCTAGACACTAAAATTCTGATGCGAGGGAGATGTATATGGTCAGAGTCTACATAAAATAATCTTGTCAATTTTGGTGGAGGACTTGCAGTGGTCTCTAAGGGGAATGGTGTAGTTTTGTACTGATATGGTATAACAGCCCAGGGAGCAGGTGAGTAAGATTTCTTGACAATCTGACCAATCCTTGTTGAACACAGGGCAGTTTGTCAGAGAGATGACTGAATACTAGTGCTGAAGTTTCAGTACAAGTATTGAGGGAGGGATGAGACTGGGCAGGAGTTGGTTTGCTAATGAATTCAGTCATGATTGATTTTCAGAAACATTGCTGGAAGAGGAGTGTTATCGGGGTAAGGAGCTGTAGAGGAGATCACGAGAAATTGATCACATTTGGCTGGGCTAAACTGAGTATTCAAAAGGTGGGGGTAGTAGAAGGACCGAGATGTGTGGAAGAGGGAGTAGTGCTGACCAAGGTAGTACTGTGAAGAGGTGGACAATAAGACTGAAGAGTAGTAATAAGGGAAGAAGGGATAGTAGATGGAGAAAGCTGGTGGATGATTTGGACTGGACTGAGGTGATAGTAGTCATTCAGGAGGATGTTTTAACTCAATTAGTGCAGGCGGTAAGACTACAATGCCATGCCCACTGTAATAAAAGTTTATCTATTACCTTTACACATAGATGGCTTCATTTCTATTATTTTATTGTCAGATGTTTTTAATATTTTAATAACAGTTTAATAAACATAATATCAATAAGAATGATAACAATGTCAATATTAGTATTAGAAAGAAAAACACATCTTCCCACTAATTCAAAATAGGGAATAGGGAAATTAGGATTGGTCACTTGGGCCAAAAGGGAACAGCACATAAATTGCTGACATTGGGTTAATCTACTCAACTTTAAAGTATATATTGATTTTTTTCTTTTTTCTTAATAAAAAAAATGGGATCTGAGACACACTGTGCATTCTGATGTCAATGTGAATGCAACAAACCAGTGGTACTGTAGCTTATATAATCAAAGAATTGAGGACAGACTACACTGTGCATTCTGATGTCAATGTGAATGCAACAAACCAGTGGTACTGTAGCTTATATAATCAAAGAATTGAGGACAGACTTGCCAATGTTCAGTGTCTTTATGAGTTCTTTTTTCGGATATGAAAGTTGATGTTCCTGTCTGAAACATTCCATAAATGCATTAAATCATAAAAGAAAACCATCTAAATACAGCTCTCACACCTTAGGAAGTGGATAGTAGAAGGGGTTGAAGAAGAGAAAGAAACAAAGTAGAAGAAAAGACCATGCAAAATTAGTTGAGTCCAGGGCTGAGACCCAAGGCAAGGCTGATCCCCAGCACTGCGTCCCAGTGTCCGTCTCCCAGTCCTACCAGGGGAGAATGGTAGGACTACTAGGTGATTCCTTGGTGACTAAGTACCTGTGGAGCCATTTATGTGTAAACACAATTAAAAAACTAAACTAACAGTGGGCCTGGTATGTGTGTATTTCTGGTTGATGGTCATACACAAAAAAAAAAAGAGTAGCAAAACTAAGCTTTACAAATTGGCCCAAAGCTGAGCAAGGCAAGACCAGTTAGGTAAATTAGTTGAGTCCAGGGCTGAGACCCAAGGCAAGGCTGATCCCCAGCACTGCGTCCCAGTGTCCGTCTCCCAGTCCTACCAGGGGAGAATGGTAGGACTACTAGGTGATTCCTTGGTGACTAAGTACCTGTGGAGCCATTTATGTGTAAACACAATTAAAAAACTAAACTAACAGTGGGCCTGGTATGTGTGTATTTCTGGTTGATGGTCATATACAAAAAAAAGAGTAGCAAAACTAAGCTTTACAAATTGGCCCAAAGCTGAGCAAGGCAAGACCAGTTAGGTTTCAGCTACTCTTCTCACAGAGAAGGGGCTTGAAAAACTTGTTTGAACTCATGCAAAATATTATAAACTTAATTTTTGCCAATAAATTTACCTTTAGCCAATAGGAGACTAATATGATGAATTCATTATGCAGCATGTGTAATAAAAAACTTTCTTGTATTTAGACTGATTTGCATTCTTCTGACAGACATTTAGTATGTAAATGCATAATATAAGACTAATATATTTACCTAATCTTCAGCCATAGTGAAACAAAAAATATATTCTTGGGAAAAAAGCAAGAAAAAGGGGGAAATTAAATGAACTCAAATTAGTGATATTTTATTTTTGTGAAAGAACAAAGTAAGAAGTCTAAAAGTTCCCTTTGTTAAGCTCTTGCTGACTTATAATAACCCTTATTTTATATTGGCATATTCATCAAAAATATAAAAAGATTTTTCTAATAACGTTACAGAATATGATGACACACAAACACAAACAAAATTATAAAGAAAACAAAAATAGTACAAATTAAATTTCAAAAAGCACCTGCAGAGTAATAATATTTCTTGTATTGACTTCTGAATATCACTTTTATGTTAAGCATGGCTGTATTTATTTCAATTTTATAGATATAAAAGTACCAGCCATTGTTGCCATGAACAAACTGCCTCAAATTCTTGAGTGGAACATCATGCTAAACCGCTCTTCATACAGGTCTGTTGTACATATTAATATGCACCTTTGTATCTTAATTTGACAAATGGTATCCAACAGTCCACATATATATATATATATATACACACACATACACACTCACACAACATTACAACAACACACCTTTTAAACAAGTATATATGCCTCACTTTGTGAACATTATATGAGAAGGGAGAAGAAAAAGAGGTCTTACAAACCTACAAATATGAAAATAAATATATATATACATATCTGACCTAAAAAGTTACTCTGAATATACATTACTCCAAGTCTACAAATATCGCAATGCAAAATATAGACAAAGGAGCACAATGACCATGCCAGCAATCAAGATGTATTTGTCTTGAGTGGATCGTCTCTCTATCATGCGCATGACTGTGTTGGACAAGCCAAGTGTGTTGACCAGATTCAGAACACGCTTGTGTGCTCCCTTCAAGGTGTTTCCCTGGTCTCGAATGCCTTGCAAAATGGATGCACCAACACCTAGTAGTTCATCAACATTTCGGTTGGCATCCTGAAAATAAAACATATCTCACTGAAAGGAATGGTCTTCAATATACTAAAGCAGGATATTTCAATTAATAAATAATATTCATAATCTAAACAAACATGCAAGACATGAAATAGGTAAGAGGGTGATATGAAGTAAGCTAGCCTATAGTATATGTACACGAATGATGAAGCTATCAAATGACTGTTAGAGCCCACCTCAGGTATATATGTCTTGGGAGGAGCAATGGCATAAGGTAAATTAAGTACACAGGTAATTAGTGCAAGGTACACTTATATGGACTCTTGCTTGTTGCAATCTTGCATATGGCATTTGATACACTTTAATACCAACATCATAAAAATGAAAATCACAATGAATTTATGATGAAATATATTGAGATTCTCATTTTAAAATCTTAGCTTTGTGTATATTTATACATTAAAAATGCTTTCCATCGAGACTCCCTGGAAATATGCAATAGCTCTAATGGACAGTACAGTCCACTGTTGTAAACTTTGTTGTGATTTGAAATTGTAAAGAGCACTTCAATTAGTAGGGAATCTCTGTGGCAGATTATTGAACTGGGGAAACATGTGAGATACTGATTATTTTGTGCTGAAGATGAAATGCAACCTGCTAATGCTACTGTAGGTCACAGGTGCCATAAATACATACATAATCACCCCTCCCAGGTGTCCATTGATTTTTATCTATGCATATGAGTGAATACCAACTCCATGCTGGTTTGCCATGGCAATGGTTATTTTTTTATTTCTGATTTTTAAGAGGTTAATGAAAACAATTTGATCTGAGGTGAATAACAATCTTGTTTTTACATAAAAATGAGGATGATTAAAATAGTTAACCTCTTGTGTGTGTGTGTTTACATGCATATAAACCTCCTACATCCCATTTGGAGCAGGAGAAATATTCAATGGATTCAGTAATTTACACACTCCACTTATCTTATGTACGAGTTTCTATAATTCTCAAAACTGAACCAATATATATATGACTATAATAATTTAGTAATGATACTGCTAATCCACAGTTCTCCATTTCTTCATATTATAAAAAAATTCAAACTAATTACAAACTGTGGATTGTTAAAAAGAAATTATTATTATTTTTTAAAACTATCTGACAAGGATGCGGTTAAAATTAAACATGGGACGAATAGCCATTATATACTCTATACCATGCAAAAAAATAGATTACTTATCTAAAACAGTTATTCTTTAATGATCAAATGACCGGAGCACAGGAGGCTTTGGCTGGGGCTGGATCTCCTTACTACATTACTATACTGAATTATTTTTTGAATAAACAAATATGCCTTATTTACCATTTGATATTACTAGAATAAACTTGTAAAATAATCATTAACCCATTTCTACTGGGCCACGCCTTGCAGCGTTATAACAAACTGCTCAATCTGTGGAGTGCAGCTGTATGCCATGGCAACACGCCAAAGTGCTACGGGCCGGGCGTTCGGCTTGGTGTAGTGAACTCTTGTGCTAAAAGTCGGCTCGGTGCCATTAATTTCCAGAGGGTCAAGTTTTTTTATTTATTTTCTTCACCCAGCAAAAAGGGGATAACATAAATTAATAATTAACAACGTTCCAACAGAAAAATGCAAAAAAAAAAAAAAAAAAACACTCATCCATTCCCATCCCAACAAATACTATACAAAACACTTTCTCACTCATTCTAACTCACTCACCCTTAGCTTATCATGATGTTGCAGCTCATGGTCTAGAAATATGGAGGTTTCTTCCTGATCATTTGTTGTAAATTTCCGAGACAGCAATGCATCCCTCTCTTTTTGCTCAAGTTCTCGTATTTGTCTGCGTTGCTGTAGGACTCTGAAGGAGTTCTGAAATAAAATTATGTAAACCTCTGATGATTCCGTTCATACAAATAGGGCATACTGTATTCTCATTCTACGACTTTCACATTTAAGGGAAATATTTTACTAATGATTTTAAGTTCAAGAGGAAAACATCTATTTAAAGAAAATAAACTGGCCAAAATTTTACCCCTTCTTTGGAAAAAATGCAACATCTGAAATATCTGAAAAATTTATTTAACTGCCATTTTTTTTATTCCTTTGTGCTGAATCTCATTTCCACCCTTCTATTGTATTTACACATTGCTTAAAATTTCTCTATCCAAAAAATCTGCACAGGGATAACTCTTCACAAGAGATGGTTATATATATTAGCTATTACAATACATATTTAAAAGAATAAAGAAGAATGAAGTTTGAAAAAATAAATGTGAAATTCTGTAATAAAAAAATTACAATTCTTGTTCTTTTGATCTCTAATTTTACAGTGAACAAAATGGGAAAAACAGTACAATCGATCATGACTTAATTCTTGTCTCTCAAGCATTAAAGGATACACTGAAGTCATCATTTTCCTCAATCTTAAATATGAATGCAAGTATAGAAAAACTCAAACCTCACATCTATAAAGTCCTTACCAGAATATGCTGGAAATCATATTTGAGCTGATCCACTCTATACTTTGCATTCATTCGTCTGGCTGGAGGTTCTTTGTTTATCAAGATGTCTAACCGATTGCAGATGCTGAAGAAATAATGTCTTACTTTAAAATATAATACATTATTCAGAACATGGATTTTGCCACTGTAATGGTTAGAGCTGCAAGGGACTCCCAAGGCATTTCAAAATAATTTCTTGAAGGTTAACAGCAAAATTGACAAAGAAAGTAGTTAAGTTCATCTTACTAAAAGTAAAAGTAGACTGCTTTCTTATTAGTCACAAGTAGATTACTCTCAATTAACAAAATATCACTAATTAAAAAGTGTAAAGGCATTAGTCAAAATTACTGGCACCTAAAAAAGTATAAAAATAGAAATACAATATTCTTTGCATGGAGCCTACCCTTAATTTGCTCTTATCTATATATTTTATAGAGAGAGCCAACAATTTCTGTCTTGTCTAGAATGTCTTTATCAATTTATCTTACAGATATAATTTTTTGTTATCTCCAATACTTGTCCCTTGGGGTATTTATAAACAAAAGAACCTGGTAACACATCAATATGCACTTTTATCCACTTACGAGTGCACTGTGTCTAGCTTCTGCACCACAGAAGACTCTACTTCACTGTACTCCTCTGGTGAATGTGACCGCTCAAGCCTGTTCAGATCAGTGTGGGAAATCTCTTGAAGTAGTCTGTTGGTTTGGTGATAGAGCACTTCCATTTTTGCTGTTTGTTTGTTCCTTTCTTTGTTTGGTTTCCTCTCTTCACAATGCAAAATCCATACAAAAGGAGGTAACAGGTCTTATCGCAGTATCTGTGGAAATAATTCAAGTTGAATAATTTGTTGTAGTTGTTGTATAATCAGCATTATTACTAATTCAATATTTATTATTATTGGATTTTGGGCAACTCCTACTTCTTTGTATCCTCCTCCTTCGCTGCTGTCTAGTTATTTGACAATGCAGATACCATTGAAAGTTGAACCATATCTTATGAACATTTGATCAGTTGCTACATTTTTTTTTTATCAGATGGTAGAACTGAAAAAAATCAAAACTGTCACCAGTTTACTTAATACATAGGTAGAAAAACTCACAATGCACAAGCAAGATTTATCGAAAATGTGACAGCATTTTTGAAATCCTCAGCACATTAATATTTACTTTGAATATTTATTTATGACCAATATTTTTACAGGCAAAGGTTTATGATGTTGCTTCACTCTGCAGTTTTACTATAAAAGAAAAATAACAGTTGCAATTCATGCCAGTTTCTGTGGAATATGAAGGACACAATCTGATACTGAGTAATAGACCCTATAAATCATATACAGAAAGTCCCCAACTTACGAACATAATGGGGACCGAGAGGCTGTTCGTAACTCCATTTGTTCGTATATCCAAAGTCGGGTCTCCATTGCCTTTTTTCCCATTGCTTTAAAGTTTTGTTTACATTAAGAATACCTGTACATAAATCCCAATAAGTATTTTTGGATTGATGCACAGGTAAAGCGAATTATGGCACAAAAATTGGCGGTACACGAGGTCACAGTGAACAGATTCTTTCGTGTTTATGGCAGGAGGGCAGGCGACTGAGGCGAGTGATGTGCACAGCTGAGTGAGTGCGGCAGCACCACGGCGTGGCAGACTCGTAAACTATATTCGCACCTGGGAAATTTGAAGTTTGCTAGTATTTTTCAAAATTTGTTCGTATGTATGGAATGTTCGTAAGTAGGGGACTTACTGTACCTTACAGAATCAAAATATACTTCTGCCCATAGCAGCACAGAATTTAAAGGAAAAATATGAAAATAAACACATAGTTACACCTGCTTTTCATACTTCTGTGGAACTGAACACTAAAAACTTCCTTTTATGATTTAACAAAAATGTCCACATTCCATTAAAAATTAAATCAAAGGGTTTCACCTGTAATGAATTATACTTGTTTCTGAGAAGTAGAATTACCAAAACACTTCCTTTTACATTACAGCACTACAAAAAATTCCATATATGCTATTAAAAAACAGTATTTATATCCTGAAGATATGAACTTAAAACGCTACCAACATGGCAACCAAGTTATTTTCACTTCTGAATTGCTGATCTTGAGAGCTCTTCTAGACATTCAACCGTAGGGCTAGCCCCTTGTGTCTATTGCATCCACTAGACATATATGGCCATTAGTGGTTGTCACAGTAACATATATTAGGCTCATTTGCGAATGTCAGACCATCCATCTAAAGACAGATATAGTTTCATCCTTCAGCTCTGTGGCACACTTTGCTTATTCTTTTTCATATATCATGAGTCAGAATTTGTCTGTAACTGCTTTTCTTGTTGGAGGAATGTATCCTGGCCTCAACTTCCCAACCATTTTACAAAACTGAGGATGTTCTACCAACTTAAATGAAGAGTTGGTTGCAGAGACAATCTTTGTGACTTCTTCATCAAGGTTTGTTTTTATAAAAAGTTGTCTTTGTAACAAATGTGTCCAAAGTTGTTGCTTTAAGTTTTGAGAAACATGTGGCAGAAGTTGGACATTCTTTCTGTAATGCTGGAGTTGCAACACTTCTTTGAGGCACCTTTGGAGTCAAATTATGTCTTACCTGGATCATCCAAATCCTTTTCTGATACTCTAGTTTGTAGCTGCTGATATTTTTCTCTGAGATATCATTCTTGCTACTATGCCTTGTAACTCAAGTTTACACTGTTTGCATATAGCTCGCCATCCTTCCCCAGACTTTGAAGGAATTCTGCTAAAATGTTCCCACACTGGATCACACTTCCTACCAGATACATTCAGCCTTATGGTCAGTGACATCTCTCCACTCTTGCAGTTGGCTCAGGAATGAGTGGCTGTAACACCCACACTACTACACAGTGTCACAAGTCTGGCCATATCATAACATGATATACATGGGAACAGGAGTCAGGACACAGATATGATTATAATGCCAAGCAAGAGGACGTGTCCCCACGGTGATGATACCAATGTAATGTTGTGGTGAGTTCATGTTCCTCTGTGAGGGTACTGCTGGTTTGGGAGTTGTTGAGTTAAAGTGGTCACTGCTTCTAGTTTATTAGCACAAGAATATGGTAGCAGGAGTATAGAGGACATGCAAGGCAGAGGCACCCAGGGAGAAGTGGGGCAACTTGTCTGGCCTGCTGTGACCAGCGGTCTGTGTGGACTACTCAGAAATTTCTATGAACAAACTTCGTTTTGAAACATTTCATAATGGAAAACATGAAAGAATTCAAATGACCACAAATTCAGATGGTTTTGTGGGGAAGGAACAAGGGTACCTTATATACAGTTGGATGTAAGAAGAGAGTTATGGTGTTTACAAGACTAAAAGATTCATGATAAGGAGACAGAAATGCTGTATTCATAAAACAAAGACATCTGAACATCAATAATGATAGTGATAACATACTTAGGGAATCAGAATAAGCATGTAATTTTGTTTATAATTGTAATCTGACAGAGATCATTGTATGATTGTCCTTACTGTCCTTAATTACAGTGGGACAATTACACAAGACTGTACAATCCATATACTTAGAATGCAACAGTGATTATATAACAATAATTGTTTTGTCATGGAAATATAGCTAGTAAAGAATGATCGACTTTTCTCATAAATCCAGCAACAAGTGCTTCAATTTTGTTGGCTACTGTACAACTCTTCAGCCACTGCTTGGAGAGAATCACCCTCCTCATATGCTCTACCCTGCCATGTACATGTGGAGGATTCTGTTATAAAAGGCACTGAGACGAGATTCCAAAGCACAAGATAGTGTCCAAGTTTCACTACCATATAGTAAAACTGGCAGTATCAGGGCCTTGAAAACACATAGCTTGGTCCTTCTGCACAGGTACCGGCATCTCCAAATACTCTTGTTGAGAGATTTCATGACCCCTGCTGCCAGGCCAATCCATCTACTGACTTCCCGGTCTGACAGCCCAGAGTCATAAACTGCACTACCGAGGTATATAAAACTCCTTGTGACTTCGATGTTCTCACCGCAAGCATGTACCGACTGCACAGGGTCTCTTAGTAGGCCCCCAAAATCCTGGATCTTGGTCTTGGTCCACGAGACCTCTAGCCCCAGGGGCTTCGCTTTATTGCTAAATGCATCAAGAGCCGCCACTAGGGTTTCCAGAGATTCAGAAAGAATGGCAACATCATCAGCAAAGTCAAGGTCTGTAACCTTGATATTGCCCAGAGTTGCTCCACAGTGACTTTGGATAGTAGCTCTACCTAGTATCCAATCCATGCAAGTGTTGAAAAGTGTTGGTGCAAGAATACAGCCTTGCCTCACGCCTGAACTAACAGGAAAGAAGCTCGACAGGCCCCCACCACACTTTACAGCACTTTCAGTGCCTGTATACAGGTTTGCTATTAGCCCAACAATCCTTGTTGGCATTCCTCTCAGTCTCAGGGTATCATCTTCATTATGTTATTATATTATTGTTAGTTTACCCCTCAGTTTCCCTGGTATATTTCATGCACTCCCCTGCATTCACCTCAAAAGAATGTGGGGGTTTGGGGGGTTTGAGGGGTTTTGCAACATAATTCCTACAATATATGTGCACTAGAGGGTGAGAGGAATCAATCAATACCAAAATTGTTGTGATTGGTTACGTGAGGGTATTGTGAAAAATTACCAATAATGCAATATTTCATGTGAATTATCAGTGTGCTTTAGAGACATACTGATTCTGATTGGTGCAATATTGAATACATGCAACAATCTTGAAATGCTAACCCCAATAGTGAGGGAGGGGCATGCAGCATATCATTGAAACTGCAAGGTAAAACAGACTGACGTTGAATAACTGAAGAACAACTATTTTGGTGACAGCATATTGAGACTCTTGGTATAAATTACATTATAATTACTTTGCTTCTACATGCAATTTACTCTTTGAAAACCACATACCTTTACACAGATACCAAAATTTTCATCAATTCAGTGAACTGGCTTTGTAGCTATCTTACTTACATTTCTCAAAACATGGAACATTTGATGGACTCAGATATCATGGCCTATGATCATCACAAAAATATAAACAAAATATTTCTCATCAGCACTGTCATATACAATGGATACTCAAAGAACTGCACAAATCCTGATAATGATAAAGCACATGTGCAGTAGGCATTGAAAATCAAGAAACAATAGTTTTCATGATTGCGTAGAAATACATGAACTAGTTGACATATTGCAGTGACAAATTATGCATTCCATTTAGTACTAGAGAAAGTAGCAAAAGAGTGACTTAGGAAAAGGTTACTTTTTTGACTATGGATAATATTTATATCATATTTATTCTTATGAGAATGGATCTCATGATCCTCATGTGGTAAGGGGAAGATATGAAGTATATCTGGAAATTATGGGGTAATGCTGAAATAAGAATAAAAGAGGACAAAAAATTGTAAAATCAGCACAAAAAATAAAATAAAATTGGTTTTGAAAGTCTACAGGAATCAAATACTAGTAATGCTTGAGCACTATATCTGGGAATGTCATGTGATACATTCTTTCAGAACTATGTGAATATTTCATTTCATCTGACACATATCAATGTAAGATTCTTTTGTATGATGTACAATTACAGTAGTCACAGAATACTGTACTATGTCAAATATATGCAAAACTGTAATCATGATTGCCCACGCCTGAGCAGATAGCCAGGGTGGTAAATAAATTGACTTAACTTTAACTACGGGATTTCACACCATCCAAAACCCGTGGTAAATGTACAATGCGTCCTAACCAATAATCAACCTCACCTTAACTTTGTGGGATTTATACACAAAAATCTATATATTCCCAAGCAGGGGGCTCTGCCCCTAGACCCCAATGGTATAGTATGCACGTAGCCAAGGGATTATGCCCCCTAGACCCCTGCGCTATTTTATGTGCCTAGCAGGAGTGCATGAAATTGAGTCTGTCCTACACTCTCCACTGCCAGGGGATGGGGGGAAGCAGCCTCCCAGGAGGGGGTTCACAGGAAGTACAACCCCATGCATTAAACAATATAGTGACTGATTCGGTACTGAGCTTACAGCAGTTTGAAAATTTTA